ACATATATCATTTCAAGATAAACAAGCAACTGTTCACATTACCCTGATGAACAAGATCTCAAACGCAAAACTCAAAACTTCATGAAGTCCGTTGTGGAGGCTTTAAATTAACATTTCCGAGTAGTTTTCCTCCGACTCTTTGTAATGCGAAATCTCCTCGGAGCTCTCTTTATCACAACTGCTACCAGGAAGGACAGCTAAAAGAAAACACGGAAAAGAACTTCGGTTATCCGACAGGGACGTCTTTTTCTTCAGATGGAAATTTTAAGAGATGGGATTTTTCTCTGAAGTGAGATATTTTTCACGTTGTGTTTCTTGAGAGGAGAATTGTTTGTCCTAGTGTCCCTGTTTCTTCTTCTTCTCATGTTTATACAATGTGTACACATTGTTACAAAATGTGAAAAAATTCAATGAAATTCAGACGGTGAAAACCACCACCGACTTCCTCGAAGTCCTTTTTGTCGCCTTGTATTTCCTGAGCAACCATGAAAGAAATGACAGTAGATTATAGAAAATGGAAAATAGAAAGGAAAGACGGTCTAGGAAAGACGACTCACAAAGAAGAGGAGCAGAAATAACACGAAGAGATCCTGCTTACGTCGTATAACAAGTGTTTGGCGTAGGCACAAAAGGAGGGTTCGTAGAGGTAACCCGGCGTAGATTTGTCCGCCTGCCCTCCTCTGCTGTCCCCCCGCCCAATGGGATAGTTCAATGGCATGCTGTGTTAAATAGATTGAAAATCTCATGGCACACTGATGATAAAGCAACAAGTTCTGGTCCAATTTGCAGGGTAAAAGCGGTCGACAATGAGATACGGATGTTATTAATTGGCTGCAAATAGAAAAAGGAACGAAGAAAAGCGACTGAGGGCTGTTTCCCTGGCTTGTCTTGAATCCTGCGACAGCCGTATGGCCCGCCGACGGGCCACACAATTCGTTCGTGTGGGACCGCTGGCAGGCCACGGCAGGATTCCTGAACAATTGCTATATTGATAATTTTCCAAGTACAGCGATGATTGGTTATTTCAACCCACAACCAATCATCACTACGACAACACACAAGAATGATTAAGGAAAAAACTGTATAACCCGGAAAGAAAAAAGCACTTGAATGGGGCCATTGCCGCATCTCACGAAAAAACGCACGGTCCTACGCGCTAGATACGTTTAGAGCACACGGTCGCTAAGGGTTAAAAACTGACTACGCACCTGTTTGGCGGAGCCTCCTTGTCATGCACACCGAGTTCAACGAGAAAATGAATCCTGAAAAGGAACATCTCCGAAGCTGAACTGCTCACAAAATCGGAAAACTCACCCTGAGAAGCGTTGACGCGCGACCAAGGCGAAATTTGTGATTTTGAAAAGTGGAACTATTCTTGAATGTGTGAAAGCTTGTCACTTGTCATGAAATCAAAACACTTACCTATCAAAAAAAATCGACGACGAAGTTGATCACTGAAGCAAATCACCACGGTAAGTTCAATTCCTGAAAACCAAAACGTTCGGCGTTCACATGGAAGCGGAAACCTTACCTGCAACGAGTGGGCCCGAGCTTTAGGTAGTGTGGAGTACCTAAGAACTAGAAGTATTCTCAATTGTAAAAAAGGGTCATACGATAGAAAACACACCTTAAGAAAAAATTTCAGGGCACGGTCAGAACAAGAATTAGAAAGATCGAAAAACAAAGGGACACTCGCGACAAACACAACCATGATATCAAAACACTCACCCATGAAAAGCAGAACAAAGCGGCAAGCTATCCTAAAAAAGGTGCATTAGCAATTGTGTTTCAATGACAACTTGGGAGAACTCACCTTTATACGGCGAGAAACTACGATCAACAAAAGGATCCTCGAAAAAATTATCCCCCTATTGTTAGAGCACCGACCATACAAGTACAAGCTTTTCAACACACACGATCCGGTGTGGGCATTGATGAAAAAGCTGTGACTCATCAGCCCAATACGCAATAAATTCGTTATTAGACATGAGAAGGGAGCATGAATAGGTACGAGTGAAGAGTTATCATATATGTCTTTCTATGACGGAGAGCTTATAGACGCCGCTAAAACTTCACGAAGTCGCAACTAGCACAATAGTACTGTTTATTGCGGTGACATGAAATAATATACTATTGTAAGAGCACCGACCCTACTCGTACACACACTTTACGGAAAGAACGACTGACAGCAACGAGAAAAAACGGTGAGTAGAAACGAAGAACTCACCTCTGTGCGGCGATATGCGCGCGAAATTACGATTTACACAAGATCCTGAAAGAAAAAACGGTGAAACTCGGGTTCGGGAGCCCAAGCGATGGCCGCTTTCGCAGGCTGGCGGCGCGCGCGAGCCTCTGCTCGGCTGTGCTGCTCTCGCGTGCCAACGCGCAGGAGCCACTTATTTGAAACAACCATAAGGGGACGGGTAGGAAAGGAACGACCAGATGTAACGAAAATCTGAGTCGCACACAACAACTTTTATTACACACCGATTACCATTCAAAAAGTCACGATATCTTTGAGAAATTGGGTATTTTGCCGCTATTAACTTACAGAGTTCATAAAGGAGATCTTCGGTGTTGAACTGCCACTTCTAAAGACTTCGTAGAAGTGATCGTCCCACAGCTCGCCCTTCAGTCCGTGACGTGAACGAACTTTAGCCTTTAGATGACCCCAGAAGTTCTCGATGCGCTGTGTGTACTCCTGTTGCGAGATTCACAAAGTTTGCAGAGTGGTTTACCGTTTCGTGTTTGTGTCCCAGGTTGGTCAAGTTGTTGTATCCTCTCCACATGTCCGTGCGGACGACACCTCCTGGTCGCACATACTTCTGGATGATAGCATCAAGGGTGGCAGAGCTGCGATCATCCGTTATCTCCACGAACACAAGTTTCGTCCCATCCTGAATTCCTCCAACTAACCAGTCCTTGCGCACGATACAGCCCACATTGTATTTACGACGAACAATGCATGTTTCGTCTACCTGTACCACTGTATTGTGTCCTCCGATTTGAGCGCATTATCGTCGTAATAGTCAACAACCCGGGGCCACGGAGTCCACTGGATGATACTTCTCTCATCAACTTCCAACGTCTGAAGGCATTGGCGTTCGTAGCATTCGAATTTCCAGCGCACATCTTCCCCTTCTGCGTCCCTCTGCTTCGTGACTCCACGGACGTCTCCACAACTTGGGCAGGGTCGCTGCTTCCACAGAAGATCCACGATCGGCCAGGCATTCGTCGAATTCCTCCTTTGTCTTTAGTGCGAGCTCCGGCCACGTAGACATGAGGGTGAACCCCCTGAGACTTAACATGTTAGCCATTTTACACTGGTACAGATCCGAATGTGGTTCTGGGATCTCACAACGCCAGGGATGGCGGAATTATTACTTCATCACAGCCTTTGAACTAAGCCTGAGAGAATGGAGGAGAGCCGGGGAATATCAAGCTGCTTACACACATATTCCGAAGCTCCTCTCTCCTCCAAGGCTTAGTCCACGTAATAAACAACTTCTCTGGCTAGTCCTACAATTGCCTGAGGGAAATGGGAGCAATTGTAGTTCTTTTTTCTCAGAGGTTAAGCCTTAGAAGCCGCTACCATATCTCGCAATCTTTTCAAATGCAGTTGGCGCCCAGAGTACAGACGAGCAGAGCGCCGCGCCGCCGCGTGGCGAAGGTGCCACCGCGT